TATTATTATTTTGTGAAAATATTATACATAAAGATTTGTTCTGATTTCATATATAAAGTATATTTTCATATAAAAATAAACATATTCAAAGAATTCTATATTTTCTCTTCAAAAATAATTACAAAATTGATTTTGATTCTCAAGTTTTTTGTCAATTTGAGTATTTGTATGCATATTGAAATGCATCAAATAGTAATTATTATAATAAAATGAACAAAAATGTTAGAACTCATTGTAAACTATTTCCAAAGTCTTAATAAATTATTAGATATGTTAACGACACACTAGAGAACACATTTGTGTCAAGTATTATGTTTCAAAGTTGTAATTTCAATTAGTTTGTAGAAATTTGTCTTCAAATAACACCTAATTTTTAACTCGTCTACTAAATTTACCCAAAGTCAACATAAATTTAATTTATTCACATAAATTTATAAACGATTGTAAATATTGATTTCTATTTATTATGTTTGCTCGTCAGTAGAGTCCTCTCTAAATCTTGCTTGTTCGTCAATATATTTGTTTATAGAGTTCGAGATTCAATTTGCTTGTAAGTATAGTCATTTTTACTTCTCAAAATCAATAGAGTTCCTTTTACTTTAAAAAAATTGAGAATTATATTGTTCGTCAGTAGAGTCTTTATTTTTGAATTTTAGAATTTGAAGTTCTATTTAATTTGTCCTCTGTCGTTTTTTATGTTAGTAGAGTTCCATTTATTTGAGCAAAGTTTGAGATTTTTTTATTTGTCAATCCATTTTATTTGTCAGTAGAATTTTATTTGTATTCATTAAGTTTTAAATTTAGTTTGCTCCTCAGTAGAGTCCGCTTTTCCCTCTCAAAATCTATTTTGTTAGGTAGCAGAGTTTTTTGTACTTTCAAAAAATTGAGATTGGATTATTCGTCAGTAACGTCTTTTTTGAATCTATTTTGTTAGTCGGTAGAGTTCTTTTTCCTTTGTTCTCTATAATTTTTTACGTCAGTACAGTTCCAATTGTTTTAGTAAAGTTTGAAATTCTATTTAATCTCTAATCCATTTTATTTGTAAGCAAAATTTTATTTGTATTTATTAATATTGTGATTCAGTTTGCTCGTCAGTAGAGTCCCTATTTTCATTTCCAAATATAGTTTTTTCATCAAAAGACTTCTATTTTGATTTATAGAGTTTGATTTATTCAGTTTACTCGCCAGTAGAGTCCCTATTTTCATTTCTAAATATTAGTTCAGTCATAACAAATTACCAAAATGTAAAAATAAAAAAATCAATATTTTATAGGTTGAATATAATTTAATTAGTCATTAGTTATTTTATTACTCACTTATTTATTATTTAATTTATTTACTATAAAATTATTTATATTTAGTTAATTTTAATTATTTTTAAATATAACTAGTTTGTTTGTTGCAAGTATTTTTTTAAAAATTCAACAAGTATTTTAATAATCTTTACAATACTTTTACAACATAATTATTTTGTGTAACAAATTTTTGGTTATTTTATGATATTTTAACAAATTTAAGTGTCTTATTTTATTGTTATTATTATTAATAACAATATATTTCAAGTATATAAATTTTTAAACAAAATACCACTTTAAATATTAATTCCCATCGATAAAAAACAATGTTAGGCAAAATAACAATACATTTATTATTATTATCCCATAGAAATAATTCCGACCGCAAAAACCGATATTGTGACATCGTCTCTCGTGAATGATAGTGAATTAGAGTGAATTAGAGTGAATTAGAGAGTGAATGATAAAGTGAATTATTTAGTCGTGTGAACTACGATGATTCGCGTTTATAACAGTTTTCGAAAAACAATTGCATTGTACCAGGTATGACTATTAGTATGAGTACGATTAGTATTGTTTTCAATAGGGTCATGTGGACGATTATTTATAATGTTATCATTAGATCAAAAGCGATTAATCATTTTAATTAACGAGCAACGTATAGTAGGGGCGTTGGTGGAAAATAGGTAAATTTTGTGTAAAATACACAGGTCAAACTGATATGTGAATTTTTGGAAATTAGAATGTCTGAAAATAATGTGGAGTTACTGAAAATACTAGAGAATAATGGAACAAATGCAGTAAATTGCCTGAAGTATCGACCAAAAATTTCGGGAATAAAATGTGCTTTTAAATTTGAATGTTTTTGATTTGAGTAAAGAGTAAAAATATTTAGTTTAATTTAAGCAATAAAAAAGAAAGTTATTCCAATGCTATCATGTAATTTTATTTAAAATTTCAATATCAAAGTTATTTTTAATATTTAAGGGTATTTTTACCCGTTACCCGAAATACTTAATCGAAATTTACTTAATCAATAAGTAAAACAACAAAAGCCAAAAACGAAAAAAAATCATTTTTGTGTAACATTAGTGTTTTATTAAACAAAATCAATTAATCTAAACCAAAACTACCAGCTAACTTTTTCAATATAATATTTAAATCGATTAATGACATTAAAACGGGTTAAAATACCCTCAATACCCGGAACGGGTATTTTTTACGGGTATTTACCGTTACACGAAAAAATTTACTTAAACAATAAGTAAAACAACAAAAACCAAAAAACGAAAAAACTTCATTTTTTGTGTAATTAATTAGTGTTTTATTAAACAAAATCAATTGAATCTAAACCAAAACTACCAGATAACTTTTTCAATATAATATTTTTTAAATCGATTAATGACATTAAAACGGGTTAAAATACCCTCAATACCCGGAACGGGTATTTTTACCCGAAATAATTTACTTAAACAATAAGTAAAACATAACAAACTAAAGAACAAATTTTAGTATATATCGCAAAAATAGTTAGTAAAAATTGCAACAACTATTAATTTTTTTTGTGTTTAAATTTCTACAAGCTCTCTTTTTAAATTCCTCTCTAGCAAACAAAATGTCGCCACGTTTTTTAATTATATAATTAACAACTGCTAATGAGAAAGTTTTAACGCTTCAAAAAGAACAAAAAAATTGCTGTTTTATTGTCGTCTATTTATACAACTTATAATTGTTCAAGGGATACAACAAGAGTCCAAAGGAAAAATACATACATACTATCTACTTATATATAAAAATAAGTCGGGTTTTCCTTTCAACGAAAAAACACTTCATTTTTGTAATCGAAATAAATTCATTACTGTTGTGCAATAAAATCAAATTTTTCCTTTTCAAATATAAAACAAACAAAAAATTTCTTCATCTTTCTCACGAAATCATCTGGTGGCGAAACGGAGTTCGTCGGGTTTTCTAGTAAATTAATATAATACGTACTTTTAAATTTTTATATTCTAATATTAAAAATCAGATTATTATAAGTCTGATTCCTTTACCATTATTATTCACCGAGTAGAGTAAAGGTGATGATTATGTAGCAATTACGGTGGAGCAATCAGCGCATTCGAACAATTAGAGAACGAACGATGATTTCTTAGAGAAAAATAATAAATAATAGCCATTATATTACCTACATATCGCGAACACATTTGCTTTGCTTTTGGTTTCTTATATATTTTTTGTAATAATTATTTTCTTTGCGTGTTTTGTACGAGGCCTCTCTTGTTAACATGATGGATCGGTAAAAGGCGTGCGCCGGTGCAGGAAATTACGGTAAATGATTCGCGGAAAATTTAAAAAAAATTGAATGGAAATTGTGGAAACTATTGGATGATGGAAATAAAACTGTGTAAAATAGAGTAAAGATAAATTTTTTTTATTTTTTATAATATTTGAAAGTAGAGGGCAAAAGTTTGTATAACCAGCCGTCACATTGATTTTTTATAGCGTCTCTATCGGCAAAGTTTAGAAAACACAATAAAAGTATTTTCTTTCTTTGTTAGTTTTTGTAGTCGTGAGCACTGTTGTTTAGTTTACGAGACCTGAATATAATTTTCAAGTACACGTTGTTTAATTATTTTATAAGAAGTATTGTTAATTTTAAGTTAGATTCAACAGTTTTTTTTACATAACCTTTATCAGGGCTATTTTTACTTGAAAACATATTTAAAATAATTTCTTCAAAAAAACAGATATTGTTATTTTTTTATTTATTTATTTATACTACTAATTTTTTATTTTTTTATAATATTTGAAAGTAGAGGACAAAAGATGTATAACCAGCTGTCAAATTGATTTTTTACAACGTCGCTATCGGCAAAGTTTAGAGTACATAATAAAAGTCTTTTCTATCGTTGTTAGTTTTTTTGGTCGTGAGCACTGTTGTTTAGTTTACGAGACCATAATTTAATTTCCAAGTACACGTTATTTAATTATTTTATAAAGTGTATTGTTAATTTTAAGTTAGATTTAACAGTTTTTTTTTATACCTTGCACATGGATAGGATAAAAAATACCAACTGAACTTTTACCTTGGCAAAGATGTAAAAAATAAAAAGTAGCAAATAAAAAAATAAAGTAAGTTAAAAAAACAATTTTACAAAAGGTAAATTTTGGCAAAATACTAGATCAAGGTTATATACAGTAAAAATGTACCCATGAAATTTATATTTTGCATTGGTTGAATAATGTAGCTAATATTTCGTAAAATCCCTTCAAAATTAAAAATAAGATGTTGGACCTAGATCGTCCCAATTTATCCCTACCATGGGATAAAAAAACCAGATGACATTTTTTTGAAAAACAGCATAAAACACATTTCTACTATTATAATTTAGCTGGAAGTTTTACTGAACAAAGTCAGATAGTTGTTTGTTTTAGATATGTTATTTATATACCTTAATATATTTTTTAATTTCATTCAGAAATGCCAAGTTAGGGCTATTTTCACTTGAAAACATATTTAAAATAATATTTTCAAGAAAAACCAGATATTGTTAATTTATTTTTTCATTTATACTACTGTTTGATATCAGGTTGGTCGAGAAGACTATTTAATCTCGATGGCAAGACAAAAGCTCTCACCATCGAGCTACGGTGAACCCTAATTCACAAATTTAAATTAAAAAAATATTTTCAAGATTTACTCACCATTACATAATGCCGTTGCATTTCAGTCTTTTCATTTGCTAATTTTTCACACTCCATTTTTAATCTAAAAAACAGAGAAATTTTAAAAAAGCTATAAATTATACTTTGGTGAAATAAATAAAAGTAAGTGATTGATATTTATTTACAATATCAAGTTAAAAAACAAATGTTAACACTTGTAATGGACTGAAAAACTGATTTTGTATTACAATTTGTTTAAATTTTATACATTCAGTTTCTTATTAGTAATTTTACATACTAGATTAAAAATTTGAAAAATTTAGTGGAATGTGATACTAATAAATATTGCACACTAATTTTATAATAATAATCAAAATTATTTCACGTTTTATTATCATATACATCTGAGATCTCATCATTTTTGAACCCGTATTTAAAATTCCTCCTCCAACAAACATCAAATGTATTTTTAGTTACGAAAAAATCGTATTTTATTAGTAATTTAGTATTTTTTTTTTAGTAATTTTAGTAATTTAGTAATTAATTTAGTAATTTTTTTAATGTTTTTTGAAAATTTTGGTTAAAAATAAATACACGTAATATCTCAATAAATGCCCATATTGAAACATTCACTATTTATCTCATATTGACCTCCTATCTCTACAATAGTTATATATATATATATATATATGAGTCTCTATGTCTATTTCTATTTTTAAATTTTAACACGAGAACTACTCACGTGTGGTATTGCGCCTGCAGGAAGTTGAACTCCTCTTTGATCCTTTCCAAAGTGTCCGAGATCGTAAATTTTAGAGGAGGCTGTGCAGGCGGACCCTGAGAAAAAATAGTATAATATTATTGTTAATAATAAAATATATTTAAACAGACATTCTTAAAATAATAAATAGAAAAATCAAAGTTATGCTTAAAAAATTTGATAAAAATTCCAAACGTTTCGAGCCCGAAACTGAGAACAAAACATAAAAATAGTAAAAAAAACATAAAAGACAAAATAAACAAAATACATAAATAATAGATAAATTTGTGAAATATATATTGATTTTTAATTGTAAATATAACAATTAGAACGACAACTTAATAAAAAAAAAATTGATAACAGATCCTTACGTTCAAAGGTTTTGTTTGACTCACACAAATCATACAAAATATTTAAGAAAAACACATAAGTACAAAATTTGATAAAAGGCTTAAAACACCAGTCAGATTTTTGGAATAAAAATGTATAAAAATTTATAAAAATTAAGTATAAACATATAAATACAACTGTAAAAAGTTTTGACCAAAACTCTCAATATATCAGTTAATATCGAGTGTCCCACGTAAAACCGGTACGCTGATTTTGACTTTAACCTTGATCTACCCTTTGTTTCGGGTTGCGGGAGAGTCAGACGTACCGGTTTTAGATGGGACACCGAAAATCAACTGATATATTGAGAATTTTAGTCAAAATTAAATATAGTGGTTATTTATATTAAATATACGATTAACCGGATAATATAAATATATAATATTAGTTTAAAAATGTCAATTATACACATTTTTAGACATTATTTGTGGTTAATGGACGCCCCGTCCGTTAATCACTTGATAGATTTTTTAGGGATTTTTGGAACACTCTTGGTGGTAAGTCGTGATATTTTAAATTATAAAATTATTAAAATTGCTTATATTAAAATTTACTAAAAAAAATCAAAAACAATTTCCAAAATAAATAAATTCAAAATATATTCATCGATTCCTCAAAAATTTTATTTTGAGCCCTTTACCAAACTTGAATTTCTTTTACCTTCGATTTGATTCTTTTTACAATTTTTATCGAAACATATTTATATTTTATTTCCTACATTTTTAATAATTCAACTTTGTATTATTTTTTCGTGTAAAACAATTTTTAAAAGCACATATCAATTTCAAAGTGTTCATCCATTCATCATATTTTTTTGTGTTTTTATTTTCAATTCGAAACAGTGCAATTACAAAGTGAATTTTTAATATTGTTCATCGATGGCTATGGCATTTTAATTTTAATATATATATATATATATATATATATATATATTATAAATGTGTAGAGATATGTTTTAAAATAAAAACAGATCGAATTACTTCCAATGGGATATCACGTATGCAAATATTAATTTAATCTCCGGACTGTTGTTTTTATTATTTTTTTCATAAATGCGTGTTACAATATAGTGTCAATATTATTGCATTGGATATATAATATTAGTTTGACAGGGATGGATTTGGGATACATTTGAATAAATAAAATCCATAAACATATTTGTAAAATCCTTTCAAGCCCTCAAACACAATTTATATATTTGGTACGAAAAAAATCATTCAATCAACAAATATAAACCATTGTTGATTGAATGATTTTTTTTTGTATATATTTATATTTAAATTAGTAAAATAAATTAATAAAAAAATAATAAGATTGAGGAAATTATAAGATTGCATTTTTTAATGAAGAAAATTTTGACAAAATAAATTATACCATGTATAATTTATTTATTTATTTAATTTTCTTGTAAAATTAGTAAAAAATCACACATATATAAAATAATGTTCCAATGTAAAGCAAAACTTTATAAACTATTTATTATCAAGTTTTTGGATAATTTTACAGTTATTTTCTTAAATAATTTTTGCAAAAACTATGGTAGCTCTCAAAAAAATTCTCATACTTTGTATAACTGTTTTTGAAATATTTTTTGAAAATTATAAATTTTTTTCATTATTTTTTTGGGATTTGAAAAAAAATTTTTTTTATAAAAATATACTAAAAACTAACCCAGTTATCAAGCTAGTAATACAAACGGTGCATCCTGAAGAGCTTACTAAAAATTGGTAAATTCAACCTCATAAATTATAACAATATTAATACCAAAAATTAGAATACAACTTTGCTTCCGCCGTGTTTACTATACAAAGTCTTTATAATAAAGGCGGAAGCAAAGTTGTACTCGTGATTATTTTTGAAATGTGTTTTAAAGTATACCGAGTTGCTGTAGGGCATAATTATATAAAGCAATTTTGTTGATTATTTAATTCTGTACAAATTTGTCTAATACACCAATAATATTAATCGAATGGCTTGAAAGTTACAAGCAAACAACAAAAGAGCACTTAAAAACAGAGCGCTTTAAAATATATTTTAAAATTAGGTTGAATACAACTTTGCTCCCGCCGTTTTTCCAATACAATTTCGTTACAATAAAGGCGGAAGCAAAGTTGTACACCTGATATGTTTTCAATTGCGTTTTAGAGTAAACCGAGTTGCTGTAGAGTGTATTTATATAAAACAATTTTGTAGATTATTTAATTCTGTACAAATTTGTCAAACACACCGATAATATTAATCGAATGGCTTGAAAGTTATAAGCTACAAAACAACAAAAAAGCACTTGAAAACAGATCGCTTCAAAATAGGCAATGTACAACTTTGCTTCCGCCGTTTTTACAATACAATTTCTTTGCAATAACGGCGGAAGCAAAGTTGTACATTTAATATGTTTTCAATTGCGTTTTGGAGTACACCGAATCGCTGAAGAGTGTAAATATATAAGACAATTCTGTAGATTATTTAATTTTGAACAAATTCGTCGAATACACCAATAATATTAATCGAATGGCTTGGAAGTTATAAGATACAAAACAACAAATAAGCACTTAAAAACAGAGTGTTTCAAAATTTACTTCAATATTTGGTGGAATACAACTGTGCTCCCGCCGTTTTTCCAATACAAGATCATTATAATAACGGCGGAAGCAAAGTTGTACACTTAATACGTTTTAAATTGCGTTTTAGAGTAAACCGAGTTGCTGTAGAGCATAATTATACAAGACAATTCTGTAGATTATTTAATTTTGAACAAATTTGCCAAATACACCAATAATATTAATCGAGTGGTTTGGAAGTTAAAAGGTACAAAAGAAAAATAAACGCTTAAAAATAAAGTGGCACAACTTGGAAAAACATAAATATTTTGATAAAACTAATAAAAAATCCAGGTATCTTAAACTAATTTTATCTTACAAATACTTTTATATTATTTCCACAGGTTTACTTTATATATATATTTAAAAAAAATGATCACCCAGTCATACAGATATACAGAAAAACTAAATCCAATTTAAACAAAAGTTTTTACAAATAAATTTAATAATTTAAAAATTCATTTTTTTATACCATTTCGGTTCTGTATTAGAGTGTTTATTTATTTTTTTAAATGAAATCCCCTGTTTGCTCTCTCGAAATGATCCAGTGATTGTTAACGCTGGATAAATTGCAAAAAATCCAATTAGTTCTCGCCAAATCATTTTTTTTCTATGCGACATGTTGCAAAAATAGTCTTTTAAAATTGTTAAAATATTATTGGAACAGATGTAATATATATATATATATATATATATATATATATATATATATATTGAAAAAAAATCAAAGGACGTTTTGCAGAATCTTACTTCATTAAACTGTAAAACTATTAAAACTGTAGAAAGTGTAAAATTAGACTTTTGATCCATTTATGATAAAAACAGTTGTTTTTGCATGATGTATATATATATATATATATATATATATATATGGTATATATACATCGATCTATTACCCATCGATAAATAAAACGAGCGGCCAATGAAAAATAGAACAGAACAAACAGACACATCTAAAAATGTACGAAACGAATAAAATAAAGAGTTACTACAGTTTATGTATACATATAACTATACATAGGTATTGTATATGTATGGTATTGTATGTATTGTATGTAGTATTGTGTTATATTAAAGATACAAAAGCGAGGTGAAATAATACATACAATAAGAGTGTTGGTAAGAGATGCGAATTGCGAACCCGTTTCTCTCTCTCTTTGTAGGTACATATTATTATTATTCACGGCGCTTGTGCATGTTACAGGAGTCGGACTCGCACAGGGGAGGAAAACTAAATAGTAAACTAGTTTGTATTGGTATTTTGCCTTGAGACAAATTACATGAACTTCCCGACATGTGTAAATAATCGAGTTAATCGATAAAAAATAAATTAATTTATGAGTGGATTTATTACACATAATTGAAAAAGAACGAACACGTTAACACGGAGTATTTTCTAAAAGCAAATTTTCACAAATCAACCATTTTTATAATTGAACCAGTTTCCATAGGACTTTAATGGCTCAGTATGTTCATTAAGACCAAGTACTCTCTCGTTATACCAAATGAATCGTCTAATTTTAATTTTAACAAACGTCAAAAAAACTACTCATTTTCTCGAACTTTGATGATTTTTTAAAATTAAACTACTTGTCCTAAGGCCGTAATATTTCAGTAAGTTCCATAAGACCATGATATATATCGCCATAAAAAGATCCATAAAAATCGGCTTAATTTTTTTTTTCAACAGTTAATTACAAGAAAACGGCTCATCAGCATCATTCCCAACTAATATCTTTCGAACAGTTTTTGATTTTTTAAAATCGGTTCGGTAGTATGAGCTTAAATGTGGACGAAAGGTTTAACACTTTTTTCCAAATTACAAAGAAACGACTGGGCAGATCGTCGCACAAAACTGAGAAACGATAGTCCTCATCGAGGTTCATGGATTGGCTTTTAAATTTTTGAAATCGGTTTTGAATTCGGTTCATCACATGTACATACTTTTTTCAAATTTTTTCTCATTCGATTCAGAATGGCTTGAAACGTCGAGAAAACATAAAATTAGCAAATCGGATTTTTTTGATGATAAACTTCTCAACCGAGAAATTAAAAATTAGAATTTTTTGACTAAAACATAAAATTATTCT